TGAGTCTCTTCAGCTATCAATTGTATGTGTTAAATGTGACAATAAAGCAGTAGTGGACATGTTGAATGAAGGAAAGTTTTTCCTTGGTAGAACAGTAACTCAATGCAAGAAATTGTAAAAATTCTTCGAAGGAATAACTACTCACTTGGTCATATATATCGGGAAGTAAACTCAGTTGCTGACTCACTGGCTAAGCAAGCATCATCAGGAATTACTTCCACAATCGAAGAATGGAGACAACTACCTGGGCGGATAATAGGGCTACTGAATCTAGATCAACAATTTTTTCCCTACTTACCTATAAGGTAATTTTTTCAATATGTTCAATTCTATAAAAATTCTTAGTTTTAAAATAGTTCAGACTATAGTTAAGCAAAAGCTGTCATGGGGTTTTGCAAATCTTTACGAGTTAGACTTTTAGAGTAATTACAATATAACTAGAACTTTCATGAGATTTATAGTAAATCTTTTTATAAGACAGTTCTTAACTATAGTTTGCAACATAACCATTATGGAATTATAAATAATCTTTGTAAGACGGTTCTTCTATTTGGGTAAGTCTTAAGCACTGCTTATTGTATTTTTCTTTTTGATATTAATGAAATTGGGGTCCTCCCGCCAGGTACCACCATGGATTTTCCTTTAAAAAAAAAACTTGTACATGTGCGTATTAAAGTTCTCTAACTTGACCTTTCGATGTTATTAGTTACGTTTTACCCATTTTTAAAAAAATTTAAAATGAAAATCACATGGCGTACATATATCAAAATGTTTCATATTAACTTAAATTTTGATATTTCAAAGTCAACATGATTAAATCAAATTTAATCCATCGAACTTTTTTTTATAGTTTTGATTGTTTTACTTTTCATTAGGTCTAGACATGTGGAAATAATTTAGGCGGACCTATGAGAAATTTACATGTGTGTTTCATTGAGATGTGTTTGGAGAAAGTAACTAGTGACTGAAAAGTGAGCACCTCTAATGTATGTGTGTGTGTATATATATATATTTATATATATATCTTATCATCTTTGAAGAAAATAAAATTGATAAGAATTAGCTTCTTACATATAGTACTTTTACTTGAAATAAAAATTAATACGATAAATATAATGACCTTATGCAAGTATACTTTTTTTTGACTATTGCATTGCATTTCACCAATATTTTTTTTTAGGGTTTCTAACAAAAAAAAAACGATGAGTTTATAATTTTTTTATTTGTTAAGTGGTATGACCGAGTGTTGTCAAGGCATCCAAAAGAAAACCAATTTAAACTAGTAGATTGTCAGGCAATTAGGGTCGAAATTCTAAGGGATGGCAGTGACTGTCTTTGGAACACCTGGATCACAGGAAAACTAAACCAAAACAAAATAGGAAAGGGGAGATGATTTGGCCACTCTCACGAGTGTTGGGAGCACTCACATGAGTGATGGTCTTCCTAAACAGAATGCTAAACAGAACAAGTAAATAATAGGCAAGGAAGTAATTTTGAGAAGACAGAGCATAAAATGTAGCACCTTAGGGAAGAATGGAGGGTAATAAACAGATTAAGGGAGGATGGGGATCCTCCTCTTTTTATATTACTTCTACAGTGATTATGCATCCATGTGGTACAAAGTGTATTCAATCAGATGCTAATATACCTCTAAGTCCCTGCCGATATTTTTTAGGGAGTCCCTCTAGTGCTGACAAGCTCCCTTTGGGGTAAAGTGTTCAAGTCTTATCAGGTCATTAAAAGCTAGAGTCTTATTGATCGAGACCGTGCCAACTTGGTTTTTTTTAAGAAAACCGGGACGGTACCTGGCGGGCATCCCCAGATTTTATTAATTAAAAAGGAAAAATTACACAGGCAGTGCTTAAGACTTACCCAATAGAAAAGAGTCTGTCGTACAAAGATTTTGCTAAAAATCCCATGACAGCTCTATATGCAGTTAAATAAGATGATGCCTTATAAAGATTTAACTATAATCCCATGGCATCTATTTTTAACTTTTAGGACTAAGAAAGTGTCTCACAAAGGTTAGAACATTAACCCCATGACACCTCTTTTTACACTTAAGACTATACTACTCTAGTACTATTCGAAAGACCTGACTAGAAATAAATAGTTTACGATGAAACCTAATTATTTTATTCTTAGATAAGGAAAAGAACACTTATCTAAGTACCATTTACCTCTTAAGGAGATTGGGAGCTCATTACTGTGATCATATTGCTTTGTATCACCACTTGAAGCCCTTTTTGCTACATCATCCGCCATTACATTTACTTCCCGAAAAATATGAACAATTTTCGAATTTGAAGCATTGAGTAATGCCCTTATTTCTTTGAAGATTGTTTGAGACCGCCATGGAAAAATTGTCTTTCCTTGAAGAATATTTGCGATCCCTTGATTATCTGTTTGAACAATCACTCTTTAAATTCTTTTTTTCCGCACAAAATCTCAGTCCATGAAGAATTCCTAATAGTTCTGCATCCAAGCTATCAGCTATTCCCATATATTTACTCTCTGCACGCACTAACGTCCCTTTTTTACCTCTTAGCACAAAACCCCATCCTGCTTCCCTAGGCTGCCCAAAAGCTGATCCATCCATATTTAGAATCATCTCTCCTTTTTTTGGTGGCTTCCACAGTAGAGATATGATAGACTTTCGTGGCAATGGAAGTACTTGAGCTTTAACCATTTCCTCTATCTCTTGTTTCTCTTCTCTCGATCTCATTTTCAGCTTATGAACACTCAATAAATTCGAAACATGAGTAACAACTGAATGAATTAAAACTCCTGAATTGAAAGGTATACCTTCCTGTAGAATTTTATTATGGCATTTCCATATTTACCAAAGAAGGAAAATGGGTAATACCATAATAATTTTTTCCTCGCCATTGTATACCCAACCTCATGCCATGCTTGAAGAATGTTCCACCATCCTGCATAATTAAAAGAAAAAAATACCTAAGAGAGAAGCAAAATGATTCCATACCTGACTTACCTTTGAGCAACCATAGAAAATATGATAGATATTTCCTCATCTTCTTGACAAAAGGGACATCTTGATGGACCTGAGTGGAATCCCAATTTGTGGAGAATTTCTGGAAAAGGCAACAAACGATTAAAAAGTTTTCACATAAAAAAGGAGATTTTCAAAGGTAGAACTTTGTTCCAAAAAATTTTTCAAATGGGGATCTCCTCTCTTTTAAAAATGGGGACCGTGCCAACTAGGTATCTTCCAATCCTAGTTGAAAATTGAGACTATTACCTCTAAGTTACCGGCCAATTTTAGTCACTCTAAACTGAGTTTACCCTTCCGGAATTCCCCCAGTATTCATGCACAAGTGCCTAATTGATCAGAATACACACAATCTTAATTCAAACACTAAAACTGGGCACACTTACGTCGTCCAAATGCAAATCTAAACTATTTGTACATAAAATGTGGGATTCAACCATGCCAAAAGTCTTAGCTACTCATAATCAATATTTTAAATACAAAATTCATGAAGAACTGAGCACAAAACATGAGTACAAGGCTAAAGAAAGCACACAGAGAGTGAAAGATACAGAATGAACAGTAGATCGCTCAGGCGAGTTGGAATGCTACTCACCTGAGCGTATGTTTCTGCTGAACTGCCTTAGAGACTCTGTTGTAGAGCTCTTGCTTAACATCCTACTATGCACTTTCCACACTAAGCTACACCTCTTTCCCCTCTCCTTTGCAAATGGCCATCGCTTCCTCTTTTATAGGTAGCAGCAGTTTGCGATTGCCATAGAGGGTCAACCACGTACACCAGCTATTAGGAGGATCTTCAACATCATTTTTCTGTTTGGCCTTTCAGACGTGATTCTAGCCGCTGCAACTTGTTAGTTTGCTAGTTTTTTAGGACCACAGCAGCCAACTAGGATGGCTCTTCCTTGCTCACGCCGGTTTTTGTCCAAGGGGATAAGAATTAAGTCAAGAAAATGGTCTTGAAGTTGCCTCTTTGCCTCAACTTTCTTTTGAAGTGGCCCGGTAGAATGTTTCACAGAATTGCTCTTTTAGTCCAATCACCAAACTTCTGCTGTTTTGCAATTATTACCTATAATTTTGGTCATTTTGCAAATTAGTCTCTGATCATAGGAAAATACGAAAATCACTTGTAATTATACAATCCCTATCTAGTTTCTACTATATTACAATAGAAAAGTGACTAAATGTAATACTCGTAATCATGGAAGTTTGACACTCATCATTAAGCTAAAACTATGATTACCTCATGTCAACGTTATCAAAAATCAAGGGATAGTAATTTTTTGTAATCATAATTACAATTTGTTTTTCTCAAAATCCCACAATGGAAGTAGCCAAACCAGGCTTGTTGACTGCTAGGAAATTTACATTTACATATTAGTCGATGATTATCCTTTGAACCTCAAAAAGAACATCCAATCTAATTCGAACACTTGAGAATTTAAGCCAACGTTTTTAGCACTTTACAAATTGTTGAACCCTAGATAATTTGAAGAATTTCCATTGTTCGATTGCAGAATTATTAATTTGATATCATTTAACATGACAAACTCTAAACAATATCTATCCTACAATTTGTTATCAAGTGTAATTACTTTCAACCATGAAAAAGTTTTAGCTAAAAAATCCACATATGTGTGTGTGTGTGGAAATGTCGGCTTACAAATTTCATAATTTCTTTAAATATAAAACGCGTGTGAAATCATTGGTAGATGGAGGGAGATCAATGAAAATGGAAAAGTTATTAATTTTTAATATCAAATTTAATTATAAAATCTCATAATTTAACAAATGAATGTCTGCTTTTATGAAACAGCTGTCAATATAATTTACAGATTGCTTTAAGTAAACAATTTAATATTATTTTATTACTTTCCAACTTATTCTCTTGTTTACAGAGGAAGTTTTAGGACAAAGAAATTTTGCACATGATTGGATTTTTCTATAAATTAGTAAACTAACCTACACTAGTTCATTGCGTTTTCTAATATTTTCTTCTTTAGAAATCATAATGGAGAGAAACCTCAAAAGGGGTCGTCAAAGAATTGAAATGAAAAGGATAGAAATTGACGACCATAGGTATGCAAGTTTTTCCAAACGAAAGGTTGGGGTTTTCAAAAAGGCTAGTGAGTTATGCACTGAGTGCAAAGCAGATGTCGGCGTGATAATTTTTTCTCCGGCTGAAAAGACACACACTTTCTTTAGCCCTAATATAGACAAAATTGTTTCAAGTTGCTTTGGGAAAAACCAAATTCCCAACGACACGCAGCCACTTATTGAGGAGCATGAGAAAGCAAGAGCTGACAACTTAAACCAGCAACTTGATGAGGTTGAAATTCAAACAGATATTCAAGTAGGAAAAGCCAAGCAAATGAATGCAGTGTCTACAATGAAAGATGAATGCGGCTCATTGGGGGTACTAGAGGAAGAATTAGATAGCATGGAGAAGAATGTTCGACTCAAGTTGAAAATGGCTAATTTCATAGTTCAATTGGCTAATCATTCCAAAATGTTGAAAAATTGAGATTCAGCATGAAGGGGGCTTCAAAATCAAACATCATTTCTTCAGTTTTTTTTTTTCAATTTTCGTTTATGTTTTTTGTAACTCCAATAAAGAAAGAAGATCATCATATCATTTTTGTTTCAAACTTATGAAATTACTATATATCTAATTAATTTTTGTTCACCTTATACGCTCCAGATTAACAAATTTTGCCCAATCATATTAGCATTAAACTCAAATTTTAATTTACTCAAGAACTTCCTCTTACGTTATTCTTGAAGAGGACATTAACTGTAATTTATCTAAATGTATAATGTTCATTTATGCCAAAGATTGATCACACAATCAGGAGGCTAATATCAAATTAAATTCTAAGTCAAAAAATATATATATATATATATATATATATATATATATTGCGGAAAAAATGCTTATCGAGTTCCTCAAATCCAATAGACTAACAAGAATATAAAATTGGATTTATGAAAATTGAAATTTTTATAAAAAAAACTGTTAAAGTATATCATTTTTTCAAAGAACTGGGGAAATAGTTAAAAGGTAAATAGTTAGAATCGAATTTCCAAATTTTTACAAAAATAAAAACATAATAGTGTATCTTTTAAAAAAAGTTATTTTGGATGTCCTAAATCCGATATATTACAAAAATATTTAACCGGAAAAGTTTGAGAAAGAGTCAGAAATGCCAAACCCGATATAAGATAATCAAATATATGAAATTCAATAGTATTTTAATTTGGTTGGTGAGGTGAAAATCTATGATAAATTAGACGATAAAATAATGGAATTTAGAAAACCGATATAGTTTATAGTTGGATTCAAATCTGATTTTGCACAATATCATTTTGCATTCATTAACTTGGATTTTGGAAATTTGATATTTGTCGGGGTATAAAATGGAATTTTCCAAAACCGAAATTTTTTGTCCTTGGAGAATTTGGAGCCTTAGGGGACAACTTGGTGATTTTGTCAGCATATTATCGCATCATACGTTGTGAATGGATAGGCCAAAGAGGTTAGTCAATATATTTTAGGTATTTAATGTAATTATTGTGTTAGTAGAAGTGTTTTTGTAAAAAGCCAGGGTTAAGGGTTTAGTTTTTAGTCAATTGGATGTTTGAATTTATCATTGTATATTGACTAGCGGAGGTAGCCGGAAGATGTGCGGTTGTGGTGGGAGCGGAGCCAGGGGGCTTTGTTTTTTGTTTCAGTGTGTAATATATTTTGTTGTTAGTTTCAATAAAAGTAAACAAGGTTAAATTACAGTGTTTGTACTTTGTAGACGAATTATATTACATATTGATATAAATAAATTCAAGTTGAACGCACAAAATTCATATAGTCAACAAATAGTGGCGCAATAGGAACAAGTTCTATCTTCTAATTTATTTCGCCCATCTGTCGCTAACCTAAGTAGACGCTCAACACCAAATTCTCTCTGTTTTTGCCCCCTTTTCATGTATGTCATGTATGATAATGATTGGCAACAATAAGCGAACCTGAATATAGCCCATTTCTTTTTCTTATTCTTTGTTTTTTTACTAAACTCTTGTAATTGATTCATAATCATCAAACAACCAGTTTTACATCTTTAGATAAAATCTTAGCTACCTGATTTACTTTCTCTACTTCAACTCTGCTAACATTTAACTAGTTTAGAATTCATAAAGCTACTTCTAAGATTAACAACATTTTTGCTAATATCTCTTATCTCTAAAGGTAATGTGTCTTCCTTTCCTTCGAGCTCCAGTAGCATGCAGCAATCCGTATACAATCTACAGACCTGCCCGTCTAAATTAAGAATTTCTTGCAAAGCATACAACATTCCCAGGCGTCCGACTGTGCATCGGAGATGGATGCAAAAACAGTTCCATTCTCTTTGATTTTCTCCCCTTTCCAATTCCAAATCTCCAAAGCTGCCACACCTTTACAATCGTTAATCAAATACGACCCATCAACGTAGACAGGGTGTGTTTCCAACTCCAGTGAAGCGTCGTCTTCCACATTTGTCAGCTGACCCCATTTCTTTTACTTTATGAAAACCTTTCGGCATAGGCCTTCTTTCTTTTCCCATATCGATTCAATTCATAGTACAAAATCAATATGGACTGCAATAACGACAAGCTTTAAAAACCGAAGTCTCAAAACCCATGAAGTAATTTGTCTGATCCAGATCGACCAAATCAAACACTGAGCAAAACCCAGTATATAATTTTAGCACTACCTCACACGCATCAATTGAGAAGGAATGAAATTAAGCATTCAATTCAATATCAACAGTAGACGACAATAAACTCATTCTAACATCACATAAACTCACTTTAAACCCTTCAATTTGTTTCCCCGAAAACCCCAAGCCTAAATTGCCTTTGTTCTTCCCCAATTCCTACATGACCCGCAATGAAACAAACTTATATAACAAAGGGGACTAACTTCAATTACGCCGACGTGAAACATAATCAGTATTCATACTTTAATTCAAAATGTGGAGTTTTACCAAAAGAAACCCTTTTTGGATTAATTTTTGCAAACCGAAAGATTAAAAGCGAATTCGTAGTCTCTTTCAAACATATAATTAAACGCCTTACATGCACAAACTGAACTCCAATATACTTGACGCATAATTCAAGCCTAAGTTGCTTCTGTTCTTCTGCCAGTCGATGGAGAACAAATCACACAAAATATACTCCCTCCGTCCCATAATTATTGTCCACTTGTCTAAAAAATTTTGTCCCAAAATTATTGTGCAATTTGACTTTTTATGGATCAAGTTACACATTTGTCCATAGTAAAAAACATTATCCATAAAATCTTAGTGGTTAAATAATTACTTATGTAGGGGTATATCCGGTTGTTTAAGGTAAAATATAGTTAAATTTGACCAAAAATAAAATCTTTCATTTTAGTAAAACTGGACAATAATTATGGGATGGAGGGAGTAATAACGAAGCTATGTAATCTAGCATTTTTAATTAGATTAATGAAGCTAAGAAGCAAGAAAGAGCGACTCCTAATAATTCTATTCTAAACAATTTAATCTAACAAGTTCCAATCAGATTTATAGGAGGAGATTAGTAGGTTACCTACTGAATGTCAAAACCTTGAGCTACGTACGTTCTCAAAACTAAATCCCAACCTAAACAGCCTTAAGTTCTCTGTTTTCCTCCCCTTTTGAAGCTTCCCGTTTCCTTTTTTTTTTTTGTTTTGTTTTAGAGCTAATTTTTCTGACTTCTTAATTAACCATTAAAAAACGAACACAGAAAGCTCTTTAGTCCATGTGGCAGCCATGTTCGCAATTCTTCTATGAAAAAATATGACCAGCGGCCTGCTTATTCCATTAAGTCAAAAAGGGATTACCTCACATGCATCAATAAAAAAAAAAAGAAATTAAAAATTCAAATCAACTCAATTTAAACCCTTGAATTTCTTTGCACCCCAATCCTAAGTTCCCTCTGTTCTTCTATCGGCAGACGGATAACAAACCATATAAATTCACAGAATAAAAAGAGAGCATAATACATGCAGTGAACAAAATCGATCCGGTGATTTCAAAAATTAAAAATGCGCTAACCTTTATGGGTTTGGATAACTGATGACAAACTCAGAAGGAAATCCGATAGTCGAAGAGGAAAAAAGATTAGCAAATTCTATTCTATTCTTCTCAGTGGAGTGAAATTATGACGCCAAACTTTGTTAAGAGGAAAAGAGAATCGGACAACGGGGAGAAAAAGTTTCTCATAGAGAGGCCGGCCAAAGCGGAAAAACGAAGCGTCCAACACGTCAGCATCTTTCACCGGGAAACCTCCCATTAACCATGCAATAAAAAGGGGATTCCCTTTTAAGTATACGTAGATTATGATATTTCATGTGATAATTATTGTTATGGACGTGGTATTGTTAGTAATAATTTTTTTTTTGTTAAAAAAAGAAATCCACCCTAATGAACCCCATCTAAATATGAGAAAACCCCCATTACAAACCTTACGGTGGAAATTGAATCCAGCTCTTTTCCCAAAAAGCCTAGCACCCTAAGCACTAGCATGTTATTCAATTCCCATATAAAAAGTTATTCTTGTGTATTTCACGATTTTAGACTCCAGCAGTATTGTATGTAATCCAATTTCGTATTATGTATTGTAGTTTAGTTGATACTTAAAAAGAATGGAGACGATTTTACGATGGTTGGTATTTTCTAGTAATGTTGTATGTTTGAGTTAGTAGATGTTATGATTTTAAAAATTATTTTTTAATAAACAGATAAAAATGACATTAACGGGCCATACCTACTTAATATGTTCTAGAGAACCAAGTTTGTTATTGAGAATGTTAGCGTGAACACTTTTGTTAGTGTGCCAAACGACGCTCTATTTTTCTAGAGTAGGTTGTTAATTAGATGTTGGGTGATAGAGTTGGGTGAGATATAGGCCCTGTTAAACCAAACCTTTCAAAAGAGTAACCAAGTGTTAATTTGAATCTTGCGTCTAATTTTACTAGATTCATTTTGCTATCTGGACCATGTCGGAAATAGAAAAAGAGATTCCTTGGTCAAATGTATTACAAGGGACGTCAAACACGAAGAAACTGTATCATATGTGGTAATACAGACCAATTGGCCTTTGCATTTCCTGTCTCACATCCTAGAGTTGATAGAATCAAAAGGAATGATAATTGGTTATGAACTTAGTAATGAAAGTGTTTTTTTTTTTTTTTGAAAAAGAAAACTTCCATTAAACTTGCTGGAATTCAGCCAGCTCTGTTTGATACAAGAAACTCGGTAATGAAGACCAAGTTTTAACTGAGGATAAAAAGGACTTAGAATGGGTTGTTATAGCATGTGCAATCCCATTTTGTGATTGAGGAATCCAATACAAATTTACAAAGAAAAGGTCTAAAAGTAGAGTCCTAATATTGTGAAGGATTGGAACACTTTGATAGGCACAATCCCCTTCTCCTACAGCAGCCAGAATTGTAGTAGAAGAGTCTCCGAGGATTGTGGTATTGCTAAGATTGAGTTCCCTCAGCAAAAGGAGAGCTTCTTTAATGCTAGAAATTCCGCCAATTTTGCTGAGTTAATATCAGTGACACATCGCCCTCTTGCACTTATAAATTGTCTTGAAACATCCTTCACATATATTCCTAATCCCATACAGTTTC